AGCCAAGCTCCTAAGGAGTGTCAGGCTATTAGGACAAGGCTTTCAGCCTAACAAGGCGGACGGATGATCGTTTCCGGCTCCTACTAACAATTCGAAATGCTTTAACTGCGCCCAAGGTACTCAAACGAGTGAAGATCAGAGAAGGCGGCCCAGTTGGGACGAGCCACCCCCTCTGAGGGGAAAATGTTTAGGGTAAAAAATACCCCAAGTACGTGGTCCAATCCCCTGATGACACGTGGCCTAATAAATGGGCGACATGTGTCATCATATGAAGATGACACGTGCTAAGAGCAAGAGAGCACCTGAAATCAAATATGTCATAAAGGCCTCCTTACATCAGGAGGCCCAAAATACCATAAATGCCGCAAAGTGGCGCCCCCAGAGGACACGTGTCATTCTCTAATTGCACGGCCAATCAAGGGCCCTAAACTCTAGGTCACTTACCCTAAGATGCACAAATCCCCACCCTTATAAATACTCCAATCATTGATGATGGAAGGGGTGGATGGTGATATATCATTCAATAGATAGAGCACAAAAAGCTCCAACTTCTCACTACTTTCTCTCTCTACATTTATTCCGTTTTCGGTCACTAACTTGATCGTCGGAGGCGGATCTCCGATCACCGGAGATTCGTGTTTTGTAGGTGTCCGAGTTCCGTTGCCATTCAGAGCATGACCAATATCCCGAGGGATTCCAAAAAAACCCCAAAACAGTTTCTATAGGGAGTATTGTATTGAGGTTATAGGGTTACTAATGCAGAGTATTATTTTTGGGTTAAGATTTGATTACTTTTGGGAACTAGTTTTATTGCCCTAAGAGTCGAGATATTTATGAATCGAATTGTTATGTTATTTGGGAACATGTGCCAATATTGAGATATTATAAATTAATTTGTAAATGGTTATTTGATTGATGTATGAGATCAAAAGGTTAAGAATTATTGTTTTGTTCTAGGTTTGAGGGTCAGCGTTATATACTTTAGTCCTTGGCATGTGTTAAGAGGATGATAATCATGAGTTAAGAATTAGGTACAATCTTTATTTATATTTATATATGGTCCCCTATAGTGGGAATTGGCCGGTATGTGGTCTGGTTTAAGGTGTTTTCTGGTTATTGAGAGTATTCAAGTTTTTATACTTGTTGGTTTGTTATTTTAATTACCAATGTCTAAGGCTAGGTATAAAACAAAGAGTGTGGCACACTTGGTTAGATGAGTTAATTGAGCAGAGTATCATATTATTATTTTTGAGGTGCGATTTTATCAAGGTTAGTTATGTGGAATGTTGTATTTAGTTTGATATTTTGGTGAATGTAGTTTCGAACTACATAGTTAGTGAGGTAATTATATTATTAACTATTATATTAATTCTTTGTATATTTGATAAGTGGTGATTACTCAGCTTTTTGCTGACGTGTGTGTTGTTTTGTTGTGCTATTTGTGTTTGTGGCCATGTCTTTTTCTTATGGTGGTCCTACGACGATCTATTTTGGAATTTGTCCTTAATGGTGAGCAGTCAAGTTTGTCTAAGAAGGTTGAGCAGGTGATCGTAGCTAAAGGAGCTCAAGTGTTTCGATTAGTTTGTTTATAACGGGTTTGTAAGGGTTTTTTTATAGCTCACCTAGTTTATTGAGTTGTAATTTCAGGGATATTGTAAGTCTTAACACTTGACAGGTTTTTGAGTGTGGCAATAACACCTCTGATTTAGATGTATGCTTCCGCAATTTTAATAAAGGTTGTTTATTTTTTTGTTAATTCTTATTTATTATTAGTTAGTAAATCGGGGGTGTTACATAAAATGAGTGAGTAATTCAGAAAATTCATCGACATGCTTAGGCAACTTTATCTTTCCCTTGCCTTCACCAATGTTATTTCTAACTACGTACACGCCAAAATTTTCAATGAAGTTTGTAGTGGAAAAAGGAGTTTAGATGTTATTAGATGGTGAATCTCACTCAGAATTGTAGTGCCATAATCATGAATAAAATGTCACTCAAGTTGAAAAATCCGGACAATTTTTTCATCCCTTGTGCTATTTATATGATGCAAATTGATAATGATTTGTGTAACCTAGGGGCTGTGTTAGCCTTATGCAATATTCGATTTATCAAAGTCTTGAAACACTACTAAAATTTATGTTTTTTGCGACCGCCTTTACTGGTCGCAAAAAATAGCAAAAACGGTCACAATTCATAATTGCGACCGTCAACGGTCGTAAAGGGGTGGTCGTTATTTCCTTGGTCGCAAAAAAAAATTACTACTACTATTTGACAGTCACAGATTTATTGCGACCGTTTTTGTTATTTTCAACGACCGCAAGGGAAACGGTCGCAAATATTAATAATTGCGACCGGTAAAATAAATGGTCGCAATTTCGGAAATTAGCGACCGCTTTTGGCCGTCTCTAAAAGTTGAAAAAAAAAAACAAAAAAAAAAGAAATTACGCACCACCCCTGCTCTTCACAGCCACGCCCCCCACCACTTCTCACACCCAACTCCACCCACTGCCCCTTCCCAGCCAACCACCTTTACCCACCACACTGCACACCTTAAAACACCACCCAATCACCAGAAAACCCCAGCCAGCCACCACGGAAACCCCAGCCACCATGAAAACCCCAACCACCACGAAAACTAGCAAAAATCAACCCAAAACAAAGATAAAATCAAACCCAAAAAAGCCAAAAAAATCCAAACAAATTCAAACGAAAAAAAAAAGACAAAATTCCAATGAATAAAACATGGAAATTCGAATTAAAACATGGAATTTCCAATTAATAAAAAAACAGAGAAAATTCAAAGTAATTAACCACAAAATTGAAAATAAAACCATTATCAAACCATAATCAACCAAAAAAAATCAAATTCGAAATAAAATTAACAAAAATCAACCTAAAAATCGAAACGAAAATAAAACATACATAGTAACATTAACAAAAATAACAAAAATTAAACCCAAACATTAACCAGAAAATGAATCCCAAAATGAACAAAAATTAACATTCGAATACTGAAATTCGAACAAAAAATCAAAAAAAAATTCGAATAAAAACTCACACAAACAAGTATAAACACGATAACATACCTTAAACCTCGAGTTGACTTCGAATTTCACCTTAAATTTGGTTTAATAAGGCCAAATTTGACCTTAAAAACCATCAACTTGCTTAGCCATAAGATTGTGACGGTGGAGATAGTGGTGGTGGGCTAAAGCTTGACGATGGAGGTCATGGTGGTGAAGGTTGGCGTCGGTTGAATATTTGGACGATTTTCGATCTATTTCCGGCAATAAAAGTCAATTAATAATGAAGGAGGAATGAAGGAGGAGAGGAGGAATGAAGGAGGAGAAGAGGAATGGCGAGAAGGAAAGAAGGAGCGAAGGAGGAGAGAGAAACAACTGTGAGAAGAGAGAGAGGAGAGAGAAAGAGAAAAGAGAGAATGAGCGGCTGCTGAATGAGTGTGAAGTAGTTATGGTTTGTGAATAAGGTATGCTTTTATACCGTAGTTTTTCAATTAAAAAAAAGGGTCTTTCACGACTGTTTTGCCGGTCGCAGATTATGATTATTTACGACCGTCTCTTTGACGGTCGCAGATTATGACATTTACGACCGTCTTTGCCGGTCGCAGATTATGATTCAGATTTTGACATTTACGACCGTCTCTTTGACGGTCGCAGATTTTGACATTTACGACCGTCTTTGACAGTCGCAAACAATTTATTTTAATTTGGAACTATTTTTAATTGTTCAAACAGCCTTGCGACCGTCTAAAAGGCTAAAAACGGTCGCAAATTTGCGACCGTTGTCAAAGCAGTCGTAATAATGCGACCGTTTTTCAGACGATCTTAAAAAAACGGTCGCAATTTAGCCGAATTTTAGTAGTAAAATAGGAGAACGTTCACCTACTAATATTACCCTTCAATTGGCCAATCGATCGATTAAATTTCATAGAGGATGCTTATTACTTTATTAGTATCAATTTTCCAAAAAAAAAAAAAGGGTTTTTGATGTTTTATATATTCCCTCTTTCTTTATACATAGAGATATCCGGTGCATTCTATCTAGCTAAGTACCCTTTTCTTTTGTCAAAAAAAAAAAAAAAAAAAAAAAAAAAAAAAAAAAAAAAACTAAGTACCCTTTCATCATTCAATTTTACTATGAGCTCCATATTTTTATTTTTATTAATTCCTCCGATTCTATTTAGTTGACGCGTTTAATTTAGGCACATATATTAAGGAGAGGAGAGAGAGTGAGAGAGAATGAAAAAGCAAGTGGGGTAGCTTATAAATTGCAAGGTAAAAATGTTACCCAAAAAGAAAACGTGTCAATTAAAAAAAAACTCCCTAAAATAGAATACGTGTCAACTAAAAAGAAACGGTGGTAGTATTTTATTTATTTTTTTTAATATTTGATGTATTATTTGTTTTGGGTTTTTTTTTTTTTAATATTGGTATGAAACTATAAACAAATTTAAGAAATTTTATGTGTTCGAGACTAATCTAGTGCAACAACCAAGGTATTTCTTGGGCCAGTGGGCCACACACTAATTTACTTATTATATTATTGTTTACGACACGCAAATCTATACTAATATATTAAAAGACGTTCATAAAAACGTCTATTTGCCACATAGATTCCTCATTGCGTCACGTCATATATACTCAATTCTTCAATGCACCATGTCACCAACTCGATTCCTCAAAACGCCATGTCACCCATGCAACCAACAATAACACTATATGATGGCTCAACAAAATTAAAAAAAAAATATGTGGATGTAAAGGTTCGAACAGTCAACCTTTAAGAAGAAAAATCATTGTTTAACCATCTAAATAAATGTCAAGTTATGTTATAACATTGCACACAAAATTATGTTATACTACAAAAGTATTAAAAACACATTCAACCTATTAAATGTCTTTTTGAAAAAATTAATTAATAGTTGTATAACTAAAATTAGTAGCAACCCGGGACATCGCCCAAGCTATACACTAGTTTTCTTTTAAAACAAGTAGTGTGAATATTGGATCTCTTAGAAAAACCCTGCATAATTCACTATTTAATACTATCACAATTTCCACCACATTACGGATGTTAAGAACATCAACTCCACTGATACATCATTGAACTGAAAGATACTTACTTCACATTTACTGACAATGAAAATCAAACTTTAAGAAGGCATAACATACCAACTTATTTGAGATCTATCAATTAACAAGCAATGGGAGCAAAGAGCTCAAATTATATAAGTAAGGCCTGTCGCAAATACGCAGTTTCAGGTACCTTCATTTAGATAGGAATTCTTATTACAAGATGCCTGATTATACCAGACTAACCATTCATAAATATCCGCAAAAGCATATGATCAGCGATATTGGGATGCTAATTCACCCTCCTTGACGATGTAGTTTTGAGGAGGGAAATCTTCTCCTTTAAAGTAGTTGTCCAGCATATCCTTTACACCAGCAGCATAGCGCAACTGCAGCATTTCAATTCAAGTGATAAGTTCATACTCATTGAGCCATAACGAAATCCTACGAACAAAAGTGTGTAGACTTGAGCAAAAATTTACACAGATTACCTGAGCATCAATAGTTGTGCCAGAAATATGAGGGGTCATGGCATGATTCGGCATGTATCTCCAAGGATGATCCTTTGGAGCTGGTTGTGGATACCAAACGTCTCCACTATACCCTGTGAAGTAATGTTACAACTTGTTTTAAGCTCCAATCCGAGAATCCTAATTTGAGTGCTTTATGTTTTAAAAATATAAATCCAACTCAATGTAAGAAATTGAGAATGGTAACGGTACACTAGTAACTTAGTAAGAGGTAAGAATTAGCATGATATGTATACAACAATCTAGAAACTATATATGTATATATGCTATAATACCCTTAATAAAATTCTGTCACTATAACAAGAATTTTAATCTCTAACAGTTTGTTTGGATTGATGGAAATGGAGGGAAGGGAAGGGAAATTGAGGGATAGATTATCTTTCATTTGGATAACAAATGTGGAAGGAAGGGAATTGGAGAGGAGAGAAATGAAAGGATTAAATTGTAAGAATTTGATCTCTCCAACAATGGAGAGATTTGGAAGGAAAACTCATATTTCTTCCCTCCCCTCCCTTTCTCTTCCCTCCCCTGCACCTCTCTCCCCTTCTTTTCTTTCCCATTTCTTTATCCAAACACACCCTAACTCTTCCTAACCTCCATTTAACATGCATGAAATAATTCAATCAACAAAAGTGGCATAGAGAACATCTTAGTTTTTTATTTAATTTTTTTTTATTCCGAAATATGATACATGAGTATATTAGGAACGTCTTCTCGCGAGACTAAAAGATCTTAGTTAGGGGGCAGGAATAAAGAAGATTTTAGTTAGGGATAATATGACTAGTTTACTTTGCACCTTAATTTTATAATGCAATATGTGAAACTTATAAGATTTCTCCATTTCGAAGAAAAAGTTCATTTTATACAACACATTGTATAAGTATCTTTTTTAAAAAAAAATAAATAAATAAATAAAAACCCAACTATATCGCAGAATATAATACGAAATTGGACTGAATGACATATATCTTGGGTGCATAGGACTGCACAACCTGAGTGGGTGCACTCAAACACCGGGAACAACATTGTTGGGTGTAAGGCATGAAATAAACAGCACTATTGGCTGCAAGGCGTGAATTTTTTTTCTAACATAATAGGTCAGGTCATGAACCAAGGGTGAAAAATGTCATGCCTTGAACCCAACAGCATAGCTTATGGTGTGGAGTGCACCCATCTAAGATTGGGTTGTCATCTGAGGTTATAGTTGGTGTCATTGAAGCTGATTAAGCTGTCAAAACTGCAATATAAGTTTAAACTTTAAAGGAACCTAAAATTGGAAGTTCATTGAATACAATAAATCAAAGAACAGAGAATTTTTACCAGCAACATGACCACTTGAGCAAGCATCAACAATAGCTTGGGTATCCATGAGTGCTCCACGAGCATTATTAACAATTAGCACTCCTTTCTTCATTTTTGAAATCATCTCCTTGTTAATCATTCCTCTGCACCATAGATAATTAATTTGCTAAACACATACTTAAAAATTACAAATTCAAGGAATAGGTGAAAGCCTAGTGCTAACTTTAAAAATATATAAATAAAAAAATCAATTTTGCCTACTTTCCCAATGACCTAGATCACAAATGAGCACATGATAATATGATATATTATAAGGTGAGATGTGCAGTTCAGATAAGAAACCACATACTTGGTCTTCTCGGTAAGAGGAGTATTCATGACAACCACATCGCATTTGCCAAGCATCTTTACAAGATCCTCCTCATACTTTGCTCCTGTCTGACTCTCCATTTCTGGGTCCATCCTGATACGATCATGATACAGAAGATTACAATTAAATGGCTTCAGTCTCTGAAGCAAAAGCTTTCCGATCCGTCCTGCACCAACAGTTCCAATAGTCTTGCCCTCAAGGTCATAAGCTCTGTAAGCAATACCCGCAACATTCCACTCCCCTTGGATAGCCTGATGATATCCTGGCAAGAAGTTCCTGACGAGAATGAGGATCCTCATTAACTCATCTTCAGCGACAGAGACAACATTGCTTCCAGTTACCTCTGCAACTGTAAGACCAGCAGCAGCTGTAGCCTCCAGGTCAATGTGATCAGACCCGATTCCAGCGGTGAGTAATAATTCCAAGTTCTTTGCTTTTTTGATCCTCTCAGCAGTAACATAGGCAGGGTGAAAAGGTGTTGTTATGAGAACATTGAGATCAGACATATGCTTTTCTAGTTCTGCAATCAAATGAAGGGTTACTATAATTTAATATAAAAAGTCTGGTGCCCATAATGGTATTGTGGTAAATGAAATAGTTGATATTCCTTATTGTAATACAGGGGATATCCAAACGATTGATACGCAAGTAATGTGCTAATCAGTAATCACTAGAGATGGAAAGAGTATTATATTACACAGCACATAAATATCAAAACATTCAATTAAATTGTAGTTTAAATTTCTAATTTAATCATATCAGATTAGGATAAGCTTTTCCACGTTAATTCGGCAGAAACATGATAATGTTGAGAAAGCGATGACCCATAAGCAACAGGCCTAAATAATCCAGGACCTACAAACAAATGCTAAATATAATATTGTGAATAGACGCAATAATGCAGAAAGAAGTTCAATACATCACTCTGTAGATATATGCATCAAGTCCATTACAAGTACATTTCCCTCTCTTTTTGTTAATTTCAGCCACCCTACTCCAATTTTTTTTACTTGCACTTTTGCACATGTAAATGGTCATAAAAATCTCAGTATATTTGCGCACATAATAACATCGAAGACCAAAGCTATGCTTTTCAGTCATAAGCAACTACAGAAAGCATATCACTCCTCTATTCCACTACTTGCTTCAAATGCCCAATTACCAACTAACAGTCCTCGAACTTCTTTATCTAGCAATTACTATATCAATTATCAAGCATTTTAGCTCTCCACTACAAAGAGCAACTTTTTGTCATATGAATAGAGCTTACCAGCTAATAGTCCTCAAAATTCTTTAATTTGCAATTAAGATTTCAATCATCAAGCATTTTAGGTCTCCACTACATACAACAACATACATTCATCTCCCTGTATGAATGAATAGAGCTTAAAATCGTTCCATGTTCCAAGGAAATAAACTGGTTTTCCATTCTCAGTTTGTACACCCTTCACTTCTAAAGCAAGACCAGAATGGGGAAAAAAGGATGAAAAAGTAGCTTTGCTTATGTCTAAAAGAAATTTAGTCTTCTAGAAAACCTACCAGAATTGGGTCCATCTTTGTCATCCGTAACAATGTACTCATGGCCCTGCGACTCCAGCCAGTCTCGTATCCCCAGGGAACCTTCCACACAACCCACAAAGTTGGGATTCATTGATGCATATTCATTTGCTTTGTAAAAGACACCTACAATTTTCTTGCTACTACCCGAAGAACCCTGTTTAACAAGTACGTGAGGAGTTAAAGATGTCAAACACAGTAAAATTTATAAGAGTAAGAGTAGTCGATAAGAAAATTTAATTTCAAATTACCAACTTACATCAATACTCAACTTATTATATACAATTTTTGCTACACAGTCTCATGTTCCAATTTAATACGAAATATCTAGTTCCCTTCATTTTATGTAACATAAATGCACTTGAAATTCCAAAACTCCAAGTGTTCACACCAATCGATGACAAACAAGGATCTAAATTCTAAACCCAGATAGCTAGCACTAGTGGCTGATTATAAACAAATTTTACCCAATACATTCCTGCCTAGCAAATTAAAAAAATACTTCGTAAACAATAAAAAAAAATTCATAGATTTCTTACAAAATATATTTTAAAACTTTTTATTTAGACTATGTAACAACATTGATAATTTCTTCATCATAGTACTCCATTTGTCCCATTTCAATTTACTCACAAGGAATGTTATAAAACTTAAAAATTTGACAACAAATTCAAGAAGTACACAATATTCCTGTTGTTTTCCTTAAGTAAAATGTTATTACATTACACTATTTATCTAATCAACTTTAACTAATGTTTGTGATTAATGTCTGTCTTGTGGTACTTGATAATTAAAGATACTATTGGTCTGCATCGGAACATGTGCAAGGAGAAAGGTTTCACTTGAAAAAAAAAATTAATTAAAAAAAAAAAATTTAAAAAAAACGGAGGGGTATACAATACTAGATTACTAGTGTTACTAGCCTCTGGTAATTAAAAATACAACCATTTTACCCAATTACCTATTTTTACACAACTTTTTTATACGTTTATATTTAAGGCAATAATTTCATAATATCTGATAAATCAATTGATATATCTTAGGGGTCAAGCCCCCTATTAGCCTTAAAGAAGATTCTCTCATGTGGTTAACGCCTTGGGTTTTTGCTTGAATGTGATGATCAGTTCTTTTTCATTTTAGATATTTAATAATTTATTAGTTTTGAAAACATGCTTGCTTGCAATTTGTCATACCTTAGTGTGAAGTATACTCGTTTAGTATACTTGCCACATCATCTAAGGTTGTTGGGAATTAGTTATTATCCTTGCCAGCTGTATTAAATGTTTTTCTCTTGTAATAAGCAGTGAGTAGTATAAATACACCACTGTACTCTATTTTTTACTCACTTTAGATTCATTTCTCCTCCTGTTGTAAACAAGAAGCTTCCCTCCATTAATGGATTTTACTTCTGGTGTTTAAGCTCCATGAATATCTTCCTTTATTTCTGTCTGTTTCTTATGTTAGCTTCCGATGTAATCTGATAAGAGCGAGAGTGCGTTCTCTGGGTTTCTGGAGCTTCGTTAATGGCGGATTTCTAGGTTGTCGCCATTGTTGCAGCAAGTTCATAATTCTGGTATTATTCCTATTCTGATTTTTTGGGCGTTTTCTGATTTCTTTAATTTCTGGGTTGTGCGTGAATTGTGCAATTGATTACTTGATTGATTGGTTCTGATTTGTTGAGCAATTGTGGTTGATTGATTGTACTTTTGTGCTGAATTTTGGAGTTTCTTTGTGCATTTTCTTGAATTCTTGATTGTTTCTTGAATAATTCTTCTGGGTTCAATAGTTCTAAAAATGGCTCAACAAGAAAGAGATGTAAGTCAAGATCCTGCTAGTCCGTATTACTTACATCCATCTGATTTCACTGGGTTAAAGCTTGTTTCGAGTGTGTTTGATGGGTCTAGTTATGGAAATTGGAAGAGGACACTGATCATTGGTTTGCCTGCTAAAAACAAAATGGGTTTTGTTGATGGTTCTTTACCCAAACCTAGTGCTGAATCTGCTACTTTTAAGGCATGGAATAGATGTAATAGCATGGTCATTGGTTGGATTATTGCTGTGTTGGACCCTCAAATTGCAGGCAGTATTCTGTTTGTTGATACTGCAAGGGAGATTTGGTTGGATTTAGAGGAGAGATTTGGTCATGCATCTTCAGCATAATTGTACTCATTACAGCAGGATATTTCAAACACTGAGCAAGAGGATTTATCTATCTAAGTTGAAGAAACATTGGGATGAACTGGATAACTTGTCTCCTTTGCCTACATGTGTATGTAGTTCTTGTACTTGTGCATTAACTCAGAAATACATCAAAGTCCAGCAAGATCAAAGGCTAATGGTTTTCTTGATGAAGTGGCCAACAACTATGCCAATGTTAGGTCAAATATCTTAATGATGCCCAGTTTACAAACTTTAGCTCAAGCTTACAGGTTGATTTTGCAAGAAGAAAGGCATAGAGCTCTGAGTGTTGGGAGTCAAAAACAATAAGAACCAGTTGCATTTGCTGCTAACTGAAGGAGGTTTGATGATAGGAATCAGTCTTACAACAAGGGTTCTTATGGCAGAGGATACCAGAACAATAGTCAGCACAATAAGAATGCTGGAGCTAAAAGAACAATTAATTACTACTGTGATGACAGGACACAATATGGAAAGGTGCTTTAAGTTGAATGGTTATCCACCTGGGTATAAAGCAAGTCAGCAGCAACCTCAGGGTTTCAAAAGATTTGCTCATTTTGCTGATTCTGTGAGTGAAGAGTCTAGCTTCATTTTTAGTCTGATCCAAGTGCAAGTTTAACAAAGGAGGAAATCAGTCAGTTTTTTTGAACAGACAGAAGATGGATTCCATGAATGCTACAGGAGATGGGAATGCTTTGTTTGCAGGTAATTATTGTCTCTTGTCTGCTTCTTATAGTAATGGCTGGATTGTTGATAGTGGGACCACTGATCATATGTGTCACAAATTGGATTATTTGCTGATTATAGAATTGTTCAGGATTTGAACAATCACATTACAATACCAGATGGGACAAAAGTAAAAGTGACACATATGGGAACTGTCAATTTGCCTAATGGTATTGTTTTGAGGAATGTGATGTATGTGCCATGTTTTGAGGTCAATCTTATATATGTGCATAAATTGTGTACGTTCTGTATGTGCCATGTTTTAAGTTCAATCTTATATATGTGCCATGTTTTGAGTTCAATCTTAAATATGTGCCATGTTTTGAGTTCAATCTTATATATGGTATTCACTAATGATAAGTGCATTATTCAGGGACAACACAATTTGACTCCTTCACTTGTTCTTGGTAGAGTGGGAAATGGTGACTCCTCCACTTGTTCTTGGTAGAGTGGGAAATGGTTTGTATTTTGCTGGTTAGACATCTGACAAGACTGCTGCTTCTCAGTTTCTAGATTGTCACAAAGTGCTTTAGATCAAGCCAAGTTGTTACACTTAAGGCTAGGGCATATACCTTTTAATAAGCTGAACCTTGTACAAGATAAAATAGATTGTAATAAGACGACATATGAGATCATTTGTAGTATCTAGCATAGGAAATCTTTTCCTCATAGTTTTTTTCATTCTGTCACCCCTTTTGAGTTACTTCATGTTGATGTTTAGGGACCCTATAGGTCTTTGACTCATGATAGATGTAATATGTTCTTGACAATAGTGGATGACTTTTCTAGATCTGTTTGGGTACATTTGATGAAGTGTAAAACAGATTCTGTTGCAATTTTGACAAATTTTGTGTTGTATATTGAGAATCAGTTTAAAAAGTGATTATAACTAATAATGCTAAAGAACTGGATGAGGGTGCTATACTTCAGTTGTATAAATCAAAAGGTATTCTGCATCAAACCAGTTGTAGTGATACACCTCAACTTGTTGAGAGGAAACACAAGTATCTTCTTAAAGTTGGGAGAGCTCTCTATTTTCAGTCTAGGCTTCCTGTGTCCTATTGGTGAGAGTGCATATAGTGTGCAACCTACTTGATAAGCAGGATGCCTTCTCGACCCTTGGGAAATAGCACACCTTATGAAAGGGTTTATGGAAAGAAACCTGAAACAGAACATCTTAGAGCTTCTGGGCGTTTATGTTTTGTTTCTACACCAAAACAACACAGAGCAAAATTGGATTTTAGAGCTGACGGTTGTGTGTTTATAGGGTATTCACCTACACAAAATGGTTATAAAGTCTTACACCTGGAAACCAGGAAGGTTTTTGGTTTTTGTATCTAGAGACATTGTATTTCATGAAAGACACTTCCCATTTCATATTTCACCTTCTCCTCAAACCACTCCAACTCCATTTTTCCTTCCTGCTCATACTCCTTGTCCAAACTCTTTCACCTTTGATACACTTCAGCTCCACAAAATATCCCAAACACTTCACCTCCATAAAATATCCCAAACATTTCACCTCCACAAATATCCCAAACACTTCCCCTTTAGACACCAATTTGACTGATTTGTCTACTCAGTCAAGTACATCTGTGTTGAGGCAGTCCACAAGACCTACTAAGTTACCTGCTTGGATGATAAACTATGTTTGTGGAAGTGCTATTACAGAAAAAAGCACTCATTGGTGCAATTTAGTGTCATACAGCAGTTTACCTACTGATCACAAGGCTTATAAAGCAGAAGTAGCTTCTCTGAAGGCACAAGTTTCTTAAAAAGAGGCGGTATAAAAGCTTTACAAGACAACAAGACTTAGGAAATAGTTGATCTACCCAAAGGAAAAAAGGCTATTGGCAGCAAATGGGTTTATAAAATCAAGCTGAAGAAAGATGGAACAACAGAAAGGTTTAAGGCAAGACTAGTAGCTAAGGGGTTCACCCAAAAGTATGGAATAGATTTCTAAGAGACTTTTTCACCAATAGTAAAGATGGCATCTGTGAGAAGTATAATTGCCTTAGCTTCTCACCATGGTTGGACTATTTTTCTGCTGGATGTTGCGAATGCCTTCCTACATGGCAATTTACATGAAGTTTATATAAGAATGCTTGAGGGAGTTCCTAATCTAGATAATAAAGAAAATCCTTGTATGGGTTAAAACAAGGCAGCAGTGGTTTGAGAAATTGGTTGCTGAATTAAAGTTCTTGGGCTATCAGCGGTTCGGTTTAAAAATGATTACTCTTTGTTCCCGAAGATTTCTCATGGTCATCTTACTATTCTTGCTGTCTATGTAGATGACATTGTTGTGGAACTGACATGAAGCAAGTTCAAGCATTGAAGTCTCATCTGCACTCAACCTTCAGTATCAAGGATCTTGGTGTTCTTACCTATTTCTTCGGTATGAAAATTGGTTATACAGGTGGGACTACCTTGTCACAGGCAAAATTTACTAGAGAAATATTTGGAAGATAGTGGTATTGTTGTTTTCAAGACAGTTGCTACACCTTTGCACTTAATCTTAAACTGCAGTGTGATGATGGTGAACTACTGCAAGACCCATCTTATTACAAGTGTATGGTAGGGAAGTTGAACTTCTTAACCCATACTAGACCTGATTTGGCTCAACATGGGTTAAGAAGTATCTAAGCCAATTCATGCAAGCTCCTAGGCTGCCTCACTTACATGCTCAGGGAATTATATTCAGAGGTGGTCTTCATCTGATTATGATAGGGCTGCCTGTATTGTATTGTATTGATACCAGAAGATCAGGGATTAAGCTGGAAGTCTAAAAAGCACCCTACAATGTCTAAAACTTCATAGTACAGGGCCATGGCCTCTGCTGCCTCAGAAGTGACTTGGTTGGTCAGAGTTCTAGGATTGGAATCAGAAATTTGCAGCCTGCTCTCCACATAGCCAAAAACCCAGTCTTTCATGAAAGGACTAAGCACATAGCCATTGATTGTCATTTTACAAGAGAGAAGGCCCTTGAGGGTCTCATTCAGCTAACATACTTGCCTACTCAGTGTTAGTTGGCTGGCATCATGACTAAAATTCTACCTTCTCCTCAGTTCAATATGATCAAGTCCAAGCCTGGTGTGTTCACACCAAGCTTGAGGGGGGATGTGAAGTATAGGAAATGAAATATACTTGCCACGTGTAGACACCTAAAAATGTCTCCCCGAAACCAAAGCTGATAATGAACAACCTTTCCCCGCCATTATTGGTCGGGTTGAGTATTTAATCTTGGAGTGCTTAAATCCATATTTCCATTTCATAAACCAACCCAATTCCTAGCTGATTCCCCCAAACCATAACTTATTTTCCTCTTTTCGTACCTTTAAACCCAAAATAATTCATTTGGTGTCCTTTAAAATCATTCATTTCATGTTCTTTTTATAAAAGCGTTTAGTCCAGTTTATTTTGGTCCATAATATGGGTCCAACGATTTAATAGTTTGATAGGGTTGAAAAGAGCTTTCCAACGATATATTATAAGCCCAACACCGAGTTATAACGAATAAGTTATGACCAAAATATTAAACTGAGCCTAAACCGAACCTAAGTCCACCTTACCTACGACCCAATGATCATGTGGAGGGTCCAAATGATTTAATCTCATTCCTAAACCAATTAGGATTAATTGGAAGCTTCTGTAAGTTTCTAAAATATCTTAATTATCCTTTTTTAAAAAATAAGATTAAAGAGTTTGAAATTAAATAAAACTCGTTTTTTTTTTTTAAGTCCTAATTCTATTCGAATTGAAAGACGTTCAAAGATAGATAGATATTATTTTCGTGCCTCATAGTTTTTATCCAAATCTTATATGATTGGATAGCTCTTGAATTTATCTTTCCAATGATATATTATAATATCAATTCTCAGCTATAACGAAAAAGATATAAATAAAATATCAAACTCTATCCAAAACTGACACCGTCCCACTATTTTGTCCATATCTTTTATTCTACAAAATATTTTAATCTGATTCTAATTGGGTTAGAAAGTAGACTTCAAGAGCTTTCCAACGATATGTTATTTATCTTATTCCGATTTCTGGATCAAAAGATATGATAAAAACAAAAACCGCAAAAACTGCAGTCTATCGAGTTTTATTCCGATTTAATTCGGATCTTATCTTAATTCTTCAATCTTTGTTTTTTCATTATAAATAGAGGCCATATCACCCCTTTTTTTCAATCATCAACAAGGTTGATCACAAAATAATTTTCTTCTCCCTCTTTAGCCTAAATACTAGTCACCCTATTCTCTCACAATACTTCCCTTAAGCACTCCAAGGAGTCCATACAACACCCGAGGTTTCGTCCTTAAACCAAGGCGTGAAAGGTATAATTGACTGTGGGTTTGGACCAAATCGAATCTTCATTTATTTAATTTAATTTTCATTTGATTTATATTTTTTATTGATTTTACGAACAATTTATTCATGATGTAGCAATTTTAAGGAACGTACGGAATGTGAGTAATTAATTAATTTAATTACTCTTATTTTATTTTAATATTGCTAGTCATGATTAGGGTTATTATTATTATTTTATTTGACTAACGTTATTATTGTTGAATTGCTTCCTATATTAATGTTGACTTTTATATTTTATTGATCACCATATTACATGTTTAAAGGGAATAAGTAATTGAAAATCATGCCTAATAAGATAATTTGGACAACCGGTTTAGGTTCCTTTTTAATCTTGTTATTAATTCAAGTGATCACAATATTTTAGAATTATGTGTTGCATTAATATTCAACCAATTTAGTGTAATAATAGATTGGAGCAAATTGAATATTTTGTTAGTATGCCTTTGAGATCGCAAGAATCACTTTTCACCATAAGAATAGAGTGGAAGTCAATACGGACGAATGTGACTCCATGACTCACTTCTTACCATCATCCCCGATCCTCCATTCGTGGTTCCGAACCATATGGAGTTAGTAATCTCATGGATTATGAATGGGGTGTAACATTCATGGGTCAATCGTTGTTGCCTTCGTTATCCCTTATTCGTGGTTGGTTGCCTTAAATGATTAGTGAACGGTTTACAAGTTCCTTAAAAACTTGTTGGCGGCTCCCTACTTTCTTTGTCCCTAATCGTTGTCCCTAATCGTAATGTCAATTCCCACTTCCTATGAGTGTCAAACATATTCACACATGCTTTAACGTAGACGCACTTCGAACGACGCCTACAACACGTTTGCTCAAGTGCAAGCTAAGGTTGTTAGGAATTAGTTATTACCTTTGCCAGCTATATTAAAAGTTTTTCAGTATTCTTGTTTTTCTCTTATAATAAACAGTGAGTAGTATAAATACACCACTGTACTCTATTTTTTACTCACTTCTTCTAGATTCATTTCTCCTCCTACTATAAACAAGAAGCTTCCCTCCATTAATGGAACTTACTTCTGGTGTTTAAGCTCCATTAATATCTTCCTTTATTTCTTTCTGATTCTTATTTTACCTTCCGATTTAATTTGATAACACTTAGTATTTAACTTGAGGTCACCGGTTCAAATCAATCACTGTTTCATTAGATTTATTTTAATAAATTGTCAAATAACAAACAATTATATTGTAATTGGGATAGAGTGATTAATCATTAGTAGCATACTAGTTTTAATGTCAGATTTATGTTTGACTCACGTTTAATAAGTAACATTGATATATTGTACTGGATAATCTGTACAATTTAATAGTGTGTTTGGATAAATAAAGGGGAAGGAAAAGAAGGGGATAGAGGAGAAGAGGAGGAGAGGGAAAGGGAGGGGAAGGAAGAATGGTGAGTTTTCCTTCCAAATCTCTCCCTTGTTGGAGGGATAAATTTCTTGCAATTTAATCCCTCCATTTCTCTCCCCTCTAATTCCTTTCCTTTCCTTCCTCATTTGTTATCCAAATGAAGGATATTTCATCTCTCCATTTTCCTTTCTTTTCTTTCCCTCCATTTCCTTCCATCCAAACACACCGTAAATGTCTTTCTCATACTCTGCAATTAAAGATATCACTTGACCTTTGAATTAGAAAAAAAAAAAAAAAAAAAAAAAAAAAAAAAAAAACATTGATTTGACACATAAAACATCACATGTTTATATTTAATTACCAAAATATATATGACAAGCTAATTGTCATGCCACATAAGCTTCCAAGCTAATTATGTTTGTACCTAGTTTGATCCCCAATGGCTACCTATTAGCTTACTATTTAAATTATCAATTTATTATATTTATCTTAATTACTAATTGACTTTTCTTTTTGGCAAGTTTTTTTCTTTGCCTAGCTAATTTGCTTGACTAAACTAATTATATATTTTTGCTCCAATAGTCAAGCTAGTAGCTAGAGACTATTTAAAATTGCAAATAGGTCCCTACCTTTAACTATTGGAGTTGCTCTTATCATCACATAAAAAGGTGCTTATTTATTCCACCTTACAAATGAAAAATTAAAAAAACAATAATAAAAATAAAATCCATTTCTATGCAGTAAATCTGCTCATTAACATAATCCATCTAAGAATAATTTATTTATTTAAAAAGAAATTATAAATTTCAGCTTGGCAGATTCCTTGTCGCAATTACAGACAAAAATAACCACTTCGTAAATCAATTTAAAAAAAATCATGGTTTATCCAAAATATCAAAGGTTAAGAATAAAGTAATAAAAGAAATAATTTGAAAAGGAAATTGTGAATGAATATAAAAGGGCGATGCTTGCTTACTTGAAGATTTCTGGAGAAAGATGAAGATGATCTTGCAGAATTAGCCGTGACAGATTTGACAGCAGATGTAATTGCACGCCTCATCGCCGTAATTATTACTTGATTGATTACTCCTGTTTTTTGTCTTTCAATTCAGTCTGAACGATAGTTTAAATAATAAATGATGATCAAAAATCGAATTGCCAATTCTTGTTGAAATCGCCACCTACGTCGGCTACGTGTCTGGTTTTGCTATTACTACCTCCTTTTTCTCCAACGTAATTGCTTATTTGACATTACTCTTATCCCTTTTTTTTTTGGATAATGTACTCCGTATTATCGAGTTTTACACTCTTCAATCAATCAATTTATCTTTATCATGTATTTTAATCATTTTTTTAACTAGGTTAGATCTCATGTCATGCATAATTTTTTAATTTTTATCACATAGTATCAATTTTATTTTTTTTTAAATCTCTAATCAAGCTACTTAATTTTTTTTTTTATCTTTTTTGAATACATATTATATTGCTTCCTTCTATTTTGAACCTTGATGGCAATTTATTTATATTTCAAATATGATAATTTTTCATTCACCAAGTTGAAAAATGTATATTCATGATTTTTTTTACTATAAATAATCATTATACATTAAAAAGTAATTACTAATATAGGAATTTATTTAAACAAAGATATGGTTAGATATTTATGTTTATAAATATATTATTCTACGATTTTTTCCCTAAATTTTGGAAGTTAACATTTTGCGTATATAATCTGCCAATTTTTAAAAGTTTTATTTTTTAAATTTAAAAAATATGCTAAGGACACACCAGAAGATGACACGTGTCATTGCTGGTGTGTCTTTTAGTATATTGTTATTGATTGAAAATGTCTTTTTCCCATTCACTTTTATTACTTTATTAATTCGAAATTTTATTTTCCTATATACTTTCATTACTTCACATTTCTCCACAAACAAAAGAAGACGGAAGGAGGATATATTAATGTATGTCCATTATGACATTGTAAACTTTTAGCATTATTACTTCTCTTTGTAATTCCCTTAGGCTGATTACATCCTTTTATAACTCTTCTCATAATGGTGACTTCTTATGTCGAGAATATCGACGCTTTTTTGTGTCCTAACTAATATACGAAGCGTCGAAAATAATGTATTTCGCACATTATCCCAAATGTGTGTAGTTTTTTTAGCGACGCTTTTACTTGTCCACAAACTCAAATTTATCGACGCTTTTTGTTGTCTTGCGTTTATTCGTGTCAGCCTATGGTATGGCGGGAAAATCTTTGAAATTTGAAAATGTGCGAATATGTAGACATTAAAAAGCGTCTAGAATTTTTTTTAAGCTTTTTTTTTCCTTTTATTAAATTATTACCATCATACATACATTATAGTTATTTAAATTTATCATAAATTAAAAATCAATAAAATAAAAATAAAAATAAACAAATATTCTATATAACTAGATTTAAAAAAAACAATAATTAATCAACACTAATAAGAGTACATAGTTAATTAACAAATTTATAAAAGAAAACATCAACACAATTATTAAAAAAAAAAAACGTCGCATATTATAGTAGCTTGTCCTTAAATAAATACATCACTAATATAAGGCTAAAAACCAAAATAGATAGATGATGGCCTTATAGAAGATATAGTCGCTTGTTGATGCTCAAGTGTCCCGACATATTCTCTTGTTGCACCTACATTGCCTTTTCCAATCTTCAAAAAAAAAAAAAAAAAAAAAGTATAAATTAGTACATTAGTCATTACCCAATATAGGCTCAAGATTCAACATGTTGTATATTATTTAAACATAGAATTGTAAGTTAAACATAGAAATATAAATTAACAAAAAAGCCAACAGGTCTTTCATCATGAGTTCTTGACTAAATCAGTATTGGGGACAAATCCAAAGCCTAACTGAACGAAGCATGGATCAAGTAATACAAAAGCTGGCATGGAATTCTGTTGGTATGTGTCTGTTGGGGTTGGGGATGGGTGCGTTGGGGTTCTGATCAGGCAAGCATGAATCTTTATGTATGTATGAACAAGATCCAACTGACATGAGAAGCATGGGGAATTTTCTGAGTGCTGCATCGGTAATCTGATGTCTGAGGACAGAATTATCTAGTCTTGAGTAGTTATGATTTATGTCTCATAATCTGCAGTTGATTGTGAGCTATGTTACTCAGAGTCTCAGACTCTTCATTTCACCATAAGTAGTACCCATGTCGGATCCACAACACAAGGATGTCAGTATTGGCACTTCACACTTCATTTTAAGCTATAATTTCTGATTTGTTCCTGTGAGCCTAATTCTTATTTGTGCCCTTTATAAGTGAAACTTGCATGTATTAGAGACTGCAAATTAGAATCTAATACTGATAAGGACAAAAACACGATACAAAGCAAACCCTAGAAGGCTAAAGGATCTGTCTCAGTAGTGAAAGGCTTGGAGAAACAAAGCAAATCCAGTACTAATGCTTCAAAAGATTTACTAGACCAATTGAATTCCCCTTTCCTTAAAAATCTGAGTACTAGGTTTAATAATCCCAACATAAAATTTGATTAATTTTCTATAATAGCCTGTAACATTGGCTATTTACTGTAACTTTTCCTGAACATCAATATATGGTTTGTGAGATCCAATGGCAACATGGAATACAATAACACATAATTTAAGAAAATTCTCAAAGATATAGGTTGTGAGATCAAATAACATTACCAAAAATTCATAATGTCCATTTTGGTTTATTTTTCAAGTAAAGAAAGTGCTACTCTTGCTAAAACAATTCATACGAATTGATCAATTATAACTCAAAACTACTCTGGAAATTCTTGATTCTTTATACACTAGCCAAGTGAGAAAAATGGACAAGTACTCGTGTTTGACACAATTACCCTGAGTCCCCGATTATGAATATCGTAGGTTGCAGGATGTGAGTCATGATTCTACTAGTATTGCTGCTAAAATAAAAGAACTCAAATTGCTTTTAAGATTGAACCATTTTTAAAGAACTTTCATCTTTCATTTAGCATTATTAAGGTCAAAAGGTTGTAACTTTATTCTACTTAAAAGGTTGCATCCGAAGTCCCAGCAGGGCAGACAAACAGCTTAGGCAGGGGAGCAGGACAGCAAGCAAGCAGCAGGGGAGCAGGGCAGACAAGCAGTATAAACGGGAGTATTCTAGAGTAGAGAACCTTAGGCAGATTATTATTACACACACACACACACACACACACACACACACACACACACACAAGCTTAGAAACTACCTATTCTACTTTAATTTATAGCAAGCAAGCAGCAGGGAAGCAAGGCAGACAAACAAGAGGTTGTTCAGATTAGGTATGTTATTCTACTTTAATTTATACAAAACCTCAACAACTAGCTTAGAAACTACCTATTCCTATAAACAAATCTGTAATTTAAAAGTTAAAATTTTTACAATCATACATTTTAAATTATTGTACCAAAATGGATGTTTTAGACAAATATTAATGTTCGTATATATACATATTAATAGTTCAATTCTCTTGCTCAACTAATTTTCTATAACCTTGATACAAAGCTAGCAACCTGACAATTCACTTCCTGCTAAGAATATAAGCCTCATAACTCATCAAAAAGTCATAAAAGTAATTCAGAAGGATATCATGAAATTGAAAGGTTTGCTTCTAAGGAAGGCCAAAAAGGTGGGGTCGTCAGGAAAATGCTACCATTTAAACTCTTAGGATTCAGGTTCAGAATTTCACACACACACACACAAGCTCTGACTTTCACACACACACACACACTCACAAGCTTTGACTTTCACACACAGAAACACACAAGCTCTGAATTTCACACACACACAAGCATTTTGAATACAGTTTTGATTTCAAATCTGATTTTCAGTTCTGAACTTCAGATCTGAATTCAGTTCTGGATTTCAGCTCTGATTTCAGCTCTGATTTCAGTTATAAAGAGATTACCTGATGCTTTTCCTTTCCTAAGAACTCAGATGCTTTGTTTAAAAGATACGGAGATGCATTCCCTTGACAAACTGCACCTACAATCTGAGAAAATTGTCCAACAAGCACTTTAAGAAGAAGATTGTTGTGTCCGACCCGGTCTTTCAGCTTTTCATTTTCTTGGGATAGTGTATCATTTTTTTTATGCAAAGCATTCACTTCTTCTTTAACACTATCCATCACAATATTCTCTTTTGAACTTTTCCATACCCTTCCTTCCTTAACACACCACGTACTCCAAAAATGTCCCCCTTTTTAACCCCTAATCTGTAACCCACAGGACGATCGGGAATCTCATTGCCATACATAGTTTGTTGAAATGCTTCATCTTCGAGCTCTTGTTCAGACATCTTAGGGTGCATCATCCTCAGCTCTTCAACCTTAGCTTTAACATCATCCTATACCAAATTATACCACAAAATTTGCACAAAATTATACCACAAAATTTGCACAAAATCATACCAGAAATCTGTCACAAAACCATACCACAAAATCTTCAGTTGTGCTAGGAAGAAAGCTTCCATCTTTACTCGTATGGGTTTTAATCCACAGCTCTAACAAGCTCATTTTCTGTCCATGTTCATCTTCCTATAAATAATAAAGCAACAAGAGCTTTAATATGAAAAGTCAACAATATCAACCGCATATAAAAAGACATGCTCTAAATACAATCCTAGGTAATTATAAAATGACATATATATTCCATACATAATCAGCTTGTAGGTTTGCAAAACTTTCAGATCCAGATGTATGAAACTGATTTTGGGAGGCTCGTGCTTTTTTTTCCGCATTCTGACATATCCTGCACTCACATTCAAAGAGTATGTATCTATTATATAATAATGAATAAGATATTAAATATTGCTTCATGCACAGTAAGCTAAGTATTGAACATACCTTCCCTTTATCCGAATCCCAATATTTCACCAACTTTACCCAATTACTACTAGTAATTCCATGTGGCACGTTATTGCAAATCTGATCTAATGTCTTCTGTTCTGGCTTGTAATATTGCTGTTTCAGAGAGTATTTGTATTGCATCCAACATTTATTGGCACGCTTGAGAGCCTGGTTGTCATATTCCGCACCAGGAGGAATCACAAAGTGTTCCTTCAGTAAATAAAATTAGTTATAAACATAAATCAATAAGTAATCTATAAATAATAAGAGACCGGCTAATTATGTATGTTTTGACAATAAAAAGGGATGGCTTAGGGACAAATATACTTACTCTTATATCTGTAATTATCTTCCCTTTGAAATGCTTGTCGATTGCATGCCAATCTTTTTCCCCAACTGGGCAACGGCTTTCCATCTTTGCAATCATACTAATGAATTTAACCAAAATATGTCCACCTTTCCTAATTGGCTGGCATATATCATTGAATTCAACATAGTATTGGACGCCATTATTACTCCAAACGTCAATTGGCAGAATTATACCACTTACTAATGTAGTATTACCATTGGCATCTGATTTAAATACAAAAAGTAAGGTAAAAGAAATAATCAGTTTAAAAAATTAAAGTACTAATTTAAATGGGAAATATTTACCTATGGTTAGAACCTCCTCCTTGTCGTCAAAATCTATGTCTAGAGGCCAATCCGGAAGTGCTCTTGGTCGTAAAGACTTAGATTGTTTCGGGATCTTTTCTGATTCTTTTCCACTTTTTTGTCATTCTTGATTAGTCTGTGGAGTTGTTGCTGAAGTTTTAACAGCACCAGTCTCAAGGTTCTGAATTCCTCGTCTCACAGGTTGCTCGAGAGGTTTATGAGAAGTAGAAAGGGAGTTCAATGATGAGTCTGGTCTACTTGATTGTGGAATATTAGGTGGGATATTAGGTGAGACTTTTGCTGGATATTTTTTCTGATAACCTGATGTAGCAGCTTTTTTGACTGAATTCGATGTTGAACCATGAGGGTTTTTCCAAATGGATCCTACACTATTAGGTGGTTGCTGGTCAGATTTTGTAGTGGTAATGGGTGGAGAAAGAGGTCCCCATTTTTCATCCTTAAGTACCTCAGTATGTGGTGACTTAGTAGATTGTTTTTTGGTGGGTTGTGAAACAACTTCAGTAGTAGATGAAGTATGTGCATTAGTTGTAATTGGTGACTGTGCTGACAGTGGATCATGTGACTTAGCTGTGGTAGAAAGTATTTCGCTTTCTCTCTTGCTTCGATAAGTCATCTTTTACCTGATGAAACCATAAGATAAGCTACATTAGTATGTCAACACTGATATAAAGACAAGACATAAACTGAAATACAAAATAAACTGATATAAAGATCTAAACTATATATCTAAACTGTACAGTTCTGAACTATAATCACAATATCACATTTAATTCAGAGCTGAAATACAGAATTTAATTCAGATCTGAATACCAGAACTGAATTCAGAGTCGAAATCAGAACTGAAAATGTAGTGAATATTTGATAATCAGAACTGAAAATGTAGTCAAAATCAGCCTTCCCACATGCAACTGATTAATATTTGATAATTATGTTAAATGAGGACTGCCCTTGATACCTGTCACATGTGAGGCTACTTTCACCTCAACCTCAGACCTTGCTACTAGCAGGGTCCTTGTTGGTGTTTAAATAAGGAAAGATGATTCATCCAAAAAGTAACTATTCCCCAACAGAGCAAACAAAAGTAGCGGCAAATTTGTTTATATTCATATGATGGATTTTTGTCAAAGTCCAATAACTAACTAATAAATTTGTTTTTGTGAAGCATCACACTGCATGTCTCTTTGGTATTGGAAAATTCTGACTGTATTTATTAAAAGTTAAATTGTAACATAGGGTGATGGGAAGTCTAATGGTGATTATTTTGAAGACTCTGAAAATGGAAACAAAGCAACGGCAAGCATGGCAACTACAACAGCAGAATATACAGACAAGCTTCCTCATATTGAAGTGCTAGGTATGAGCTTTTACTCATTATTATTTCTAGAATTGGTAAAAAAAATATAAAGTAGTTTTTACTATTTGAAGACAAATAGATAAACTTTTCTGTTTTTGGTTCTCTGGAGACTGCAGCACATTTTTACTATTAGCAATTTCTTGTATGTTAGAGAGAATCAATCAATCAAAGTCTTTATATTAGAAAGAATAATGACCATTATTGCTTTTCCTGCAGCTGCAGAAGAAGTATCTTCTGCTAGTCATGATACTGATCCTTGGCAATCTTCTGAATTTAAACTCCCAAAAAATCAGGTCTAAATTTAGTTATGGATTCAGTTCTGAATTCAAACAGCAAAAGCACTTAGTTCAATTACAGTTCTGAACTTCAGATCTGCAACTCAACTCAGAATTAATTTTGGGTTCATTACAAATAGCAACAACACTTAATGTGAAATAGAAGAGTCTTAAGATCGGTCAAGATGCAAAAGCCTTAACCTTGACCGGTAAAAGAGCAGAAAGGCAGTTATAATCACAATATCAGTGAAAAGTAAAGACAATATATAAAGACAAAACTGATATAAAGACAAGACTATATATGCACAGCTAAAATAAACATCTAAACTGAAATACAAAATAAGAACAACAAAAATCAATGCATTAGAGTTGAAATAACAAGAAATAAATTTGACCAAAAAGACAAAATCTGATGTTCAGAGCTGCAATTCAGAACTGAATTCAATTCTAGATTCAGTTTGGAATTCAGTTCTAGAGTTTAGTTCTGAATTCAGTTCTGAAATTCAGATCTGAATTCAGTTCTGGATTTCAGTTCTGATTTTGACTCTGAATTTAGTTCTGGTATTCAGATCTGAATTAACTTCTGTATTTCAACTCTGATTTCAGTTTTTATTCGACCAATAAGAAACCAAGACAATAATACTACTTAGTACCATAAAAACAGAAATTAATTTAACAAAATGCAAACTTTGATGAATTAGAATAACTAAATGAAATATAATAAATACATACCCATCCAAATTTATGAACTCAAATCTGTAATAAATTATAAAAGTTGTAAACAAATTATTCAGGTATATCAAACAAGTCCCTAGGCTTAGTTTTCACAACATGACACCACCCTTTTTGTATCTCATCCTCAATATAAAAAACTTGTTTTGCTTGAGATGAGAAAACAAATGGATCATCACGCAAAAATCGACCAGTGTGCATCAACTTTGAGAAATTGATACGAACACTTCCATTCGGATTTGTTTTGATACCCCTACGGATATCGACCCAATCACAACGAAACAATACAACCTTATAAGAACCATAATAATCTAATTCCAAAATTTCTTTGAGTTTTCCATAATATTCGTGACCCTCTGCTTCCGTCATGATTCCTGAATTCTGAGTTACTCGAAATCACTCACGATCCACAATATCAAATTTGTAACCATTGATAATAACACTTTTCATCCTTTTCCCGCGGTTACTCAAGCCACCGGCTAAGGCTTTTCTTAACTTTCCATCTACCGTGCTATCATCTAAATTATGGACCTATAATTCGAGAGTAATAAAGTTAGAATTAGAAAGTTGTATAATATGAAAATAAAAAGACCCTAAATGTAAAAGCATATGACCTGGCTTTGCAACCAATCTACAAATTCATCAATTATCCTCTGATTTTCAATAGATTCATCAGCTTGACTTCCTCCAATGTCATTCTCTTGCCTCTTTAGTTTTAGGAACTCACTATCGAGATTGTAAATTTTATGTTAGTAACAAATATATATTGGACGCTTTAACTAAACACATAATGCTACTTACTTGAGCACCGGGGTTAGTTCATCATAATGAAGTAAAACATAGCGATGAGCTTGCTTTAAACTTCTATCATCCAAACGGACATTTTCTTTCTTTCCAACAACACGACCACCAGAGTTATACAAATAGTTGTCAATGTTTGATACACCATCCTCATTCCTTCTAGGTCTATTGAACATAGTATCTACACTTTCTAAATATCTCGAAAAAAATGCAATTGTCTCCCACAAAAGGTAACCTTCCGCTATAGATCCTTCCGGTTGTGCTTTATTGCTTACATGAGATTTCAAAAAGGCCAAGTACCTTGAATAATAGTAACGATTTTGTATGTGAATGTGAAAGAATAGGAAAAATTATTATATAAAAATTAAATAATACAAATAAAAAGAATATTAATAAATAATAATAATAATAATAATAATAATAACAATAATAATAATAATAATAATAATAATAATAAGTACCTTTCAACAGGATACATCCATCTATAATGAACCGGTCCGCCTAGTCTGACCTCTTCCACTAAATAAATTAGTAGATGAACCATGATTGTAAAAAATGATGGTAAAAATTCTTTTTCAAACTTGCAAAGAGTCAACACGAGCTTTGATTGAATCGTATCTAATTCTCTTGTATCTATAGCAGTTGAACATATCTTTTTAAAAAAGTCAGACAACTCCTCAAGCAAGTCAATAACTCTTGTGGCATTCGACGCCCTTAAAGCAACTGGGAGGATATCTTGCATGAGAATATGATGGTCATGACTTTTCATATTAATAAGTTTCCGTTGCTTTAGATTCACTAGGTAGCGGGCTGCTACGGATAGGCGCTAGTGGTAAGTCGGGTTCCTTCTCTTCCCATCTTTCCTCACATATTTGCAAATTAGATCCATATCCATCAAGAATTTTAATCTTTTTCAAGACTTTCAAAAATCGTTCTTTCTCCTCGTTAGACATGATGTATGCAGCTGGCGAGATGTAACCTTGAGGGTTGATCCATAGATGAGGGTTTATATTCAAATTCTTTAGGGCTTCTCTGCCACTCTCATCATCCCTACTATTATCCATATCTAAAAGAGTTCCTAATAAAATATCGGACACATTCTTTTCAATGTGCATAACATCTAAATTATGTCTAAGAGGATTATGCTCCCAATAATCTAATTCAAAAAATGTACTTTTCTTTTTCCAAAGAACATAATCACCATCGGAATCGCAATCATCATCAAGTTCATTGGCAGCTTTTTTCCCTCTTTTTTTAGGAACTTTTTTTTTGTCTTCCCATATACATACTTTACCCCTTCTTGTTGCTTCAAAACTACGGTCCCGCTGGTACGAATCGGAGCAATACCATATTCTTCTTTCCCATCAAACAAATTAGCTTGTGAACGATATGGGTGATCAATAGGCAACCATTTTCGATACCCAGGGTAGATAATTTTGCCACCAAATCTATATGAATAAGTAGAATGAGTGCAAGAAGGACAAGCTTTGTAGCCTTTTGTACTCCAACCTGATATCATAGCATAAGCCGGAAAGTCATTAATAGTAGAGTGTAGGGCTGCTCGCAGTTTGAAGTTGCTTCCACTATAAGAATCAAAAGCATCAACACCTTCCCACAATAATTTCAATTCATGGATTAGTGGTTGCAAGTACACATCAATATCCATACCGGGACCAAATTTACCAGGAATAATTATAGAAAGAATAAAGGATGATGGTTTCATGCAAAGCCATGGTGGTAAATTGTAAGGAATGAAGACCACCGGCCATGTACTATAATTTGTGTTCATAAGACGATATGGATTAAAACCATCACTCGATAGGCCTAATCTAATACTGCGAGGATCAGCGGCAAACTCTGTATATTTTTCATCAAATTTTTTCCAGGCCTCGCCATCAGCAGGGTGTCTTAGAATCTTATCATCCTTACGATTAAAGTGCCATCTCATGTCCTCCGCAGTTTTAGATGACATGTAAAGCCTCTTTAATCTAGGGATAAGGGGAAAGTACCGCATTACTTTAGTTGCCTCGCCTTTCTTACATGCTTCTTTTCCTTTTTCATTTACATCACCCTCCTTTCCTTTCCCATTTTTCCACCTTGATGTATGGCATATATGACACTCACTTTTATTTGCGAATTCGCCCCAATATAACATGCAATCATTTGGACATGCATGGATTTTCTCATATCCTAACCCTAAATCATTTATTATCTTCATGCCTTCATAATAGGACGATGGAAACTCCTTAATAATGGGAAATGCCGTCAATTAGAAGTTCAAGTAATTTATTAAATGACTCTGCAGACTAATGGAACATACACTTTAGGTGAAACAAATGCAATAGAAATGAAAGTTTTGAAAAAGTAGTACACCCCTCGTACAGGCGATTTTCATAAGCTTCCATGAGGTTTTTATACTTTGTCTGTTCTTCATTTGAGAAAGTTGATTGATACTCATCATCTACCTCGCGATAAATGGTAAACCCTTCATCCATGTCATATGAATTGTCATCTTCAATACTTTGTTCATTAAATGATGGATCTTGAGTTTTGTCGGTTTGTCGTGTATTAACTCTAAAAGCTGCTCTTAGTAACCCGTCCATATCATCTCGACCTACTGCATTTACTTGATCATCACTTAGATCATAGGTCTTACTCCCTTCATCTTTACAATGAAATATCCAATTTCTATAGTTTTTATAAAAACCATAAAATAAAATATGGCCTCCAACTTCTTCTATAGAATTCGTTTTATTTAACTTGCACTTATTACATGGGCATTTAGTTTCCCATGTATTTGGTAAAAGAGTCTCTTTATTAGCAAGTTTCAAGAAGTTCATGCAACCTTTAGAATAACTAGGATCACCTCTTGGTAACTCAATCCAACTAGTATCCATTTCTACAAAGAAGTATATAATTAATTGCTAAGTAAAAACAATGACATTAAAAAAAAATCATGTTACAAGGATCATTAAACCAACATATAATAGGGACATCACTTTCACTAAGTAAATAGACATCCATCAAACTTATAATATCAAGAAGTTTATCCACTTAAAAATAATGTAAGTAATTCAAGCCTACAAACTTGTTGAGGGGTGAAAGAAGAAAATTAGAAAGAAACATGCAACAACAAATAAAAAGTTATATAAGTTTTTCAAGCAATTAGAAGATAGTATACATGAAACATCCAATTAGGGAAATCTAATCAAGCCTACACAATTGAAATAAGATATGACATACACTAATCAAGCCAACAATCTTCAAAACAAGAAAGGCATATCAAAACATATTCGAAAAATCCCAAACTAAAACCCTAGAAAACGCCATCAAATTCATCACAAAAACCCATAAAAAACTTTTAAAAAAATACAACAACAAGGAAATCTGAAATTTCAAAAAAATACCTCTTTTGAGTAGCCTGAAAGTCCTACAAGCTGAGAGTCACGCACTTTTTAGTACAGCTCCGTAGGAACTATTGGTTTCTAGGCAAATGAAATTGCTGGATTAGAATGTTAGATCATACATACAGGCTCCTTATGGCAATCCACCACCACATATAAAGACTCAAACTTCTTGGTCCAAAATAAGAGCTAAAATATGGGTAATGAAAGAGAACAAGGCTAGGGGAGGCAGTACCGCAGTAGTGCGTGAGCGATTTATAACAGTGTCACAAGTTTCATGCATTATCATTTATCAAGCTCTAAATTATACTATGTAAATGTATTTCAACTTAAATTGATCTTCACACCTGCTAATTATCACAACCTTCATTATGAACTCAACCCAAATCTTCAGCAATATACATATCATCTTAACCAACAAACAAACTTATACATTCTTAACAATAAGACTTGATTCATCATATCTTGTTTTACATTTGTTTTTCAGATTTCTCTGCACATTGCGTTGTGTTTCTAAACCTGGGTACGTTATTGCTTACACTGGCTTCCACATTCAGTGAGTCTTTGATATTTTACTATAGCAGTGCTATGGCTGTTGGGATCATCTTTGTGGTACTACTTGTTCTTTTCCATGTAATTATTGATTTTCTTGTATTTAACCTGTAGTTTGTAAAACTTCTTTCTGATTTCCGGTGTGTGTTTTACTGAAAGTTCTTGTGGCATATAAAAAAAAAATAGATATTTGTTCCAATAAATTCAATACAAGACTATAATAAAAGTAAATAAAGTTTAAAAGACATAAAATGGGATTTTAAGGAACTAGAACACCATAGCAAGCTTAAAAGGCATACATAAAGCACATAATCTCATATTCGGTCTAAGATTCTAAGGCAAAGAAAATATTACCACTGATGATCACTTGTGTGAAACAAATAAAAACAACCACAAATAAAGATATGATGCAAATCCAAATTTCTTACAAGCTGTACTCTTCAAAATAAATCTGAGTATTGGGGTTGTTGTCTAATGATTTGTATGGGAATGAGTATTTATATGGGAATGAGTATTGCTTCTAAGAGCAAAGCATGTGAAGACAAAATGCAATCATCAGCCACCAAATCATCATAGAAAATTCATATCAAAAACCCATAAAATTCAAAAAAAAAGAAAATTCATATAAAAAAACCCATAAAATTCAAAGCCTATAAAATTCATATCAAAAACCCATAAAATTCATATCAAAACCCCATAAAATTCATATCAAAAACCGGAAAATTCAAAGCCTGTAAAATTCATATCATAAACCCATAAAATTCCAAACTAAAACCCTAAAAAAACGCCATAAAAATCATAACAAAAACCAAAAAACTACTTTAAAATATAAAAAAAAAAAAAAAAAACATGGAAACCTTGGATTTGAAAACAGAATTCACGAAAAAAAAACAATATAAAAAGAAATTAAAATATCTAATTAAGGGCAAAAAATTACCTCGCAATAAGAGATCGATTCTTGTTCTACACTAACTCAAAATCGAAGACATGCAAAGAATAATTCCCAATTTTAACGAAATTTAGAGAATTGTGAGATATTAGGTACCAAAAACGATAGATATATACCGAGAAACAATATTGTATAGCAAATTGTAAGTTGATACCTGAAATTTATGAAATTGACGATCCAAAAACCCCTAAATTCCTTGAAGTTTAGCAAGCAAAACCCAAAAACTAACCAAAAAGGAATGATTTTTTTTGTCGGTGATGATGGAGTCCAGGTTTGGAGGAGAGCAGAATAGTGGATGGGTAGTTTAATAGGGAATTTAAGGGAATTTGGGAGCCTGATTCGAGTGAGGGTGAAAATACAACCCGCTAAGTTTTTCATTAGTTAAAATTTTCAAAATTACGGGCATCCATACTCACGTGCATAGCACGTGATTTTCCCGACGCTTTTAAGTGTCGAGTCAATCTTCAACCAGAAAAAGCGTCGAGAAAAGACGGTACCAAAATCCACACCAACAGCGTCGAACCAAATATATATATATATATGTGTGTGTGACGAGGGATGGAACTAGGTCATTGAAATTAATCCTCCCTCGATCAAGCAAAATTTATAAACACTTAACAAACCTATATACTAGTATAGAGGCAAGTCAAGGATCGAACCTAAAGGAACGGTAACGTTCAAGCGCTCTCAATTATGCCCCTTAGTTAGGTCGAAGACAAAGATAAAGAGAAAACACTAACAACTAACAAACAAAGAAACCAAACAAATAAAGCACTAGGAACGGGATCAACAAGCAATCATGACAATTGTAGCAACTCGGAAAATAATATGCAAATCAATGATTGTGGAGACTAATGGAAAGCTCAATAAAAAGAATCAACAAGCTATCTCCTAGAGGTCAAACTAGCGCCAACTACGAGAGACTCTAACTAGGAGCATCACTAATCAAGCTCAATCGACAATTGTAATTCCTAAATCAATGGTCCGTATCATTAGAAACTACAATGCAATCTAGCATAATTCTCAAGGCCTAATCGAATTACACACATGCAAACTTCCAATAATCGATTTAATCTCAACAATTAATTAACATAACTCCCAAATTAAGCACAATCAATCAATCATACAAGTTTCACTCAATTCCTAGCAAACAACTACTCTAACATCATCATCTAATCAACAAACAACTAAAGAAATAAAGAATCAACAATATATGAAGAACAATTACACTAATCAACAATCAAACATCAAAATCAAATCAAACAAACTTGAATATTAAACAAAACAATAAAATGAGATAGAGTTAAGAATGATCATTGATAATAGAGAAGATCTTCAACACAATTGTCACCCTTGAATCTTCAATCTCTCAATCACCATTGAAATTCCTCACTTTCTCTCTAAAAAATCTACTCCTAAACTAACACTAAAACTAGAGAGAGAAGCTCTCAACTAAGCTAAAAAATGATCAGAAATGTGAAATGAAGCTTATTCTAAACTTGCCCCAAAAATCGGGTTTCAAAGGTATTTATATAGGCACGAAAACAAAAACTGAGCAAACAAATACCTAGGAAGGCGTGCCCGCGCTGCAGGGGTGGCGCGCCCGCTCCTATGCCTTGCGCGCCCGCGCATCTCTGGGTTTCTTTGATCTTCTCGCTGCTTCGTGCGTTCGCTAAGGTTTTCGAATGAACGCACAATCATGATGATGATGAACACTAAGTGAGGCAGTCCCAAAAGCAAATGATTGTGGGTTCAACACCCCATATTCTTGAGAGCACGGCTTGAGGGCGAAAGAGCTAGAACTTGGAGAATCCACTTCCTTGCATCTTGAGCTTTCCTATTGCCATGAGCTTGCTCCAAAGGCTTCCTCCCCTTAGTAATTCACCAATATTAAGACCTAAACCTCGTACAATACCTACAACCACAAAAATAGAGCAAATAAAGGAGAAAAAACTAGAAAAACCATAGAAATGCACAAAAGCTACAAAATAAGAGAGGAAAGGTAAGACTAAGATCAAAAGCATAAAACTAAGCATTTATTAAGAATGAAAGCCATGAAAAGAAGGTAAAAACAACCTAAATGCTCATCAAATGGGTGCCATTCATGTCACCCATCAATATGTGTATATATATATATATACATATATATATATATATATATATATATATATATATATATATATATATATAGGAAATGAAATATACAATCAATATTCTCGTTACATGTTTATCTTTTATTCTTTCTTTTCCTTTATTTTATAACACGTTATCAGCAGCAACATTAGCCGATTGAACAAGTCCATATCCCATCAATTTGTATGAATTTTTACAAACTACTGGGTGCGTCCAACAATTTGTGCGGCTGCACTAATATTCCTCCTTTCTCCATTATTTCACTTTTCTTCTCTTTTAATAGTGCAGAAGTTGAAAGGCAACAACGATTGACTCATATAGGTTACACCCCATTCCTAATCCATGAAATTACTAACTCCATATGGTTTGAAACCACGAAATGAGGATCGGAGATGATGGTACGAAGTGAGTCATGCAGTCACATTTTCCCGTATTAGGCTCTACTCGATTCTTGTAGTGAAAGGTATTTCCTACGATCTCAAAAAACTACATACAAAGATTCAATTTGCTACAAACTATAATTACACTAAATTGGTTGAATATTAGTGCACATATAATTCTAAATATTTGTGATCAATTAATTAAACAATAAGATTTAAAAGGAACCTAAACCTGTTATCCAAATTATCTTATTAGTTGTGATACTTAATTACATATTCTCTTTAAACATGCAGCATGGTGATCAACAATAAACAATAAAATAACAAGAAATCAATTTAATCATAAAAGCGTTAGTAAAATCAAATCATAATAAACCTAATCAAGATACTAGCAATAAAGAATAAAAATAACAATAAGAGTAATTAAGTGAATTAATTACTCACGTTCCGCGTTTCCTTGAATTGCTACATCATGAATAAATTATTGGTAACTTCAATTAAAATTTAAATCAAATTTAAATTAAATTAAATAAAAAGTAGAGTTGATTTGATCCAAACCCTCAGTTAATTCTATCTTTCACACCTTGAGTTAAGTATAGAACTTTGGGTCAAGTATAAACTACTTAGAGTGCTTTAGAGAACGTATTATGAGAGGAGAAGGAAGCTAGTATTTATAACAACCCTAGATCCGAGTTGACCTGAGTATTTGAGACCCATACTTGAACATGAACCGACCTGGAGATGAACCGACCCAAACATAACCCATAAATTATTAACCTGAACTGAACTCGACCTGAACCGAAATTGACCCAAACCCGTTTTAACCCGTCAAAACTCGAATTTAACCCGACCTGTTCTTAATCCGACTGGTTACTAATTTGACTCGAAATTCAACTCGACCTATTGCAAACTTGACTTGAATAAACCTGACTTGGTATTGACCCTGTCCGAATTTTACCTGACCCAAAATTCAACCCCATCTGTTACTAACCCGACCCGAAATCAACAGAACTTGTTATTGAACCATCCTACATTTAACCCAAATTATTCCTGACCTAGTTTCAAATCACCTTGATTCAATTTAGACCACCTTATTATTATTGATCAAAACATTTTGTCCAGGGAGACCAAGTCGGTCCAGACCCGACTTGATTATTATAACCCGCGAATAATTTTGGGAATGACAAGACTTGAAAAGGATTGACCTTATTATAACCCAAATATTATTGACTTGAACCAAACCCTGACATGAACCGACTTGGAAATGACCCAACTTGATTATAACCCTTAAGTTATTGACTTGCTGATTAGAACGAACCCGAGAATGATCTGACTTGGAAATGACCCGACCTAATAATAACCGTAAATTATTGACTTGAATTGAACCCAACTTGAACCCGAGAATACCCGACTTGGAAATGACCGGACCAAATTATAACCCGCAAATTATTGACTTGAACCGAACTTGACTCAAACCTGAGAATGACCCGACCTGTTCTAACCCATAAATTATTGACTTGAACCGAATCCGACTCGAACTCGAGAATGACCCTAACCCGTTTACCCGTGAAAACCCGAATTATACCCGACTTAATATTCACCCGACCCAAATGTAACCCGACCTATTATTAACTCGACCTAAACACGAACCAAACCCAATAAGATGTAAAACCCGACGTGACTCGACTCAAGCATGACCTAACCTGAACTCGACCCGCATAGGTTACGACATTAACCCGAATTTACCTGACCCGAGTTAAACCGACCCTCTCTTATCCGAACCAAACCTAACCCATTTACTCGGACTGACATCTCTTCATGTCTACTTTCCAACCCCATTAGAATCAGGTTAAAGTATTATATAGATTTTACGATATGGCCGTTTTAGTGAAAGGGTGTTGGTTTTGGGCCGAGTTTAGTGTTTTACTTATATCTTCATTTTAAATCAGAATTGGGCTTATGATATATCTTTGAAAATATTATTTTAAGGCCTATCCAATTAAATAATATTGGATAAAACATATAGGGCCACCAGTTTAGCTCGGTTTTGTGATGTGGACACGAAAAGTGGAAAGTAAGTTATGGTTTAGGCAAGTGGGCTAAGAATTAGGTTGGTTTATGAAATGTATTGGATTAAATATGGATTTAAGCACTCAAAAAATTAAATACTCAACCCGAACAATAGTGGCGGTGAAAGGTTGTTCATCATTGGGTTTGGTTTGGGAGACATTTTTAGGTGTCTGTAGAAGCCCACACTTTAATTGAGTTTGTAGAATAACAGTTTTGAAATTGATAGTCAAAGTAGTCGATTGGGACGGAGAATGATTTAAGACGTTCTGCGATCCTAAATCACTCTATATACGTCGATACCTTCAGAAAAGCATTAGTTCCAAAGATAAAAGAGTGAAGAGATAAAGTGCGTATTGTTGGGGTTTGGTGAGTCCGACTCACCGCGGAAACAAACAAAAAAACTAGACCGCACTAGCAATAAATAAAACCATAAACATAATTAACTTAATGACAAGATTAAGATAATAAATATACCTTTGACGCGTGCTTCACCCGACCTCGAGGGGCTCTTACTTCGAAATCTAGCCTCGAAAATACGACGACCTCCAACGCAAGTCCACCCAAAACTCGAACACCGATTAGGTCCAATGCCTCGGAGTTATCAAGGCCCGACCAAAACCCGAGTAATTGAGTTCAAAGGTTTTCACAATGGTGTTGTCTTTTTCAACTCTTAAGTTCAAAGGTTTTCACAAATAGTGATGCCTTTTCCAACTCTTGCTCAAGTGCTTTTCCCAATACCCCAAGTTGGGTATTTATAGGGAAATGCATGAGTGTGAAAAGCTCTCCCATCAATGTGGGAGAATTTGATTTTCCCATTTTATTTTAAAGCTAAAATAAAATTAATAATCAA